GAATTGAATGTTAGATTTTAAAAATCAAGAAAGTCCAAGAATTCAAGACATGTTCAGAATTTTCCTAGTGGCAAAAAACATGAGTGAGCTTCAAAGTTTATATACCAGGGAAATGCATTTTTCTTTTTTGCCTTTTTGTTACTTATTAAGTACTTTTGTTCCAGGAAGAACTCTTCTTCATTATTGTAAATATACCAAGCAATCTCCCATTTCCTAGAAATTAATCATCTGCTTTTTTCAGCCAGTGTATTTTCTGTTCCACCTCTGACTTTTTGACTAAATTAGCTAAAAATTTCCTTGATTTCCTGAACTAGCCATATGATTTGTCCAAAAAATAAAGACTATCTTATTCTTTACCAAACCAGAAGGGTATAAAGAAAACCATCAGATTTTAAGGATGCCATTTAGTCTTCAAGAATAAAAGTGAGAGAGTTGCTTGGGTCATCTCTTTGTTCACTATTCTGGCAAGATTCCAGGCAAGAGTATGTGGTAATCTCATGATAATTGAACAACATAGTCTATTATGCACTCCCTATGATGCAATATTGTTTCATGTCACAGCATGATGCAAGTGACATGAGCCTTAGTGCAGACAACAAAGGCAGGAATGACCTCCAGAATTCCATGTCAAAGCATATGCCCTCTGACCTCGACACATTTAGCTAACCTGAGACATTTACCCATTTTACGAAGGTAAGACTAAGTGCATCACTGTGAGTGGGGATTAACTTCAAATGTTTCTCATTACACATGGAGTTGAGCCTAACTACAACATACAGGTGTAAAATTATGTTTGTGGACATAGAGAAAGAACTGCAGGTGGGTGGATATGATATTTGATTAAGTGGCTTCAAGTGCTAGCTTTCTGTATGCCCATAAAGGACTCCAGAAGGAAATGAAGGAATTCTCCTGACAATGTTTAAGTAACTACAAACCAAGAGACCAGAAGATCACCAGTGTTACTGGAAGGGGCACTGCATGCATTGATGGGCTGATGACTGAAATTCTTGAGGTCCATACACACAAATGATTGTGGAACATAGGCTGACAACAGAATTGAAGAGTGAGGCCACACATAGCTCAGTCAAGGCCACAAAATTCTCACATATTGTTTTTATGGCCGAAAGAGCTAAATGCCACCACTAGATTTTATAAACTTTTAGGGAGAATATATACAATGAAGTATGCCTAGTCTAAAAATCCTGTGGAATGGTAACTGGATGGCAGCTGGAGAGTAAGGTGGAGTCAAGCTCTATACTGGAGCATAAACACTGAAAGAAATGGTCTCACTTATTAGTTGGTCTGGATATGCCTAAGTATCAATGCCACGGTAACTTCTTAAGACAGTTATGCTGCACTCTGATCACCTGGGTAAGCCAACATGTCTGAAAGAATGGATAACAAGAAAGATATCCAAATAGCTTTATTTGGGGGAGTTGAGCATCAGCAAATAAAGATAGCACAGAAGTCAAATAAAATGCATTAAAATGCACCACTCCTTGCTGTGGTGGTAATGTGTTAGACCTGCTGACAACTGGAGATGTAAATACTAGATTATGAGCCTCTAAAAGGCAGGGTCTGGGTTTTTCATTTTTGTAGAGCCAACATTTAGCATAAAGCCTGAGAAGCAGTCAAATGCTCAGAAAGTATTTAAATGAGTGAACAAATGAATGAAAAAGAGTAAAAAACAAGTAAGCCCAGGGTCCAGTATTCAGTAACAGGAAAACAAACTGCCTCTTTTCAACTAACCAAGGAAAGTCTGAGCCGGGGAGTGGGTGGGGGAAGGCCCTGTAAACACCAATGGCAGCCACAAATCAAAGAGCAGGCCAGGGGGATTCACAGTCTGACAAAGAGAGTTCTCCAGCCCTGCTCCCTTTTAACCAGACTCCCCCATACATATACCACATCCCATCACCAGCATTACTTTCAAATCCACAAGACAGCAGCAGGGACAGTAACACCCTAAGCTCGTTAAGGATCACAACCCTCTGAGCTACTGAAGCACACAGATGCAAAGAGAAAGGGAAGTTTTACAAGATAAATGGGGAGGCAGCATTTCTGAGGCCTCCCTTTTAAGAGGGGTGGGGAGGAAGGGTGTGTACATAGGGAGTGGACATACTTACTGACTTCCACCTAGGTGCCCCATTAGGCCAATATTTTGCAAAACCAGGTGTGTGCAATTTGCTTATTAAAGTTCTCACCCTGGGGCAACTGACAAGACTCATCAGTCCTGGGAGATGTGTGCTATGACCCCAAGGCAAGTTAAAGCATATCCGGAATATTTTTGGCTAGAAAGAGAATCTTTCTGTTAAAGTGAAAGGGGATCATTCTGCTGAAACAACTAAGAGGAAAAGGAATTAAAAGTGGTTTGTTCCCGGTTTTGTGTAGAAATTATATCATTATCTTCCAAAACAAAGGCTCAAGGTTAGACTGAGTTTCCAGAAGGAACATGAGAAATGTTTTTAATCGATGATTCTGTAAGTGGTGGCACTTCAAAAGGAAATATTCCAGCAGAAGGTAAAAGCTTCAAGGTGGCCTACGTTGCCTACTTTCTAAGAGGTCCAAGAGTCAACACTTTTGAACCCAAGATCTCTTATAAATCGGGGTAACCCTCCCTCGTCGTTGGCTAATTCGGTGGGAAGAGTGACAGATGTGGGGTAGCCAATGGCAATAGACTGCAGTGGCATTGCCTATAAGGAGCTATCTGATGCTGAAGATGCCAAAAGAACAAAAGAGCCCCGATTATGTTTTCCAAACTAGCCAAGATGGGCAAATGGATGTAAATGAATGGAAAATGGCAGTAGCTTTTTCTATGCTGTTATTGATAGCATTCATCTTGAATTAGACATTAACAGACTGCTCTACCTGGAAACATAGCTTCTTCCCTGCCAAACACTAACCCTATTCACGGCGAAGCAGTGTTAGTTAGTACATAAAAGGATAACCATGATGGAGTTCTGGTGGTAGCTCTAAATCCACATTTACAGAACAACTATCATGTACCTAACACTGGGCTACACAACCACGAATTCATGGCATGCTTTAGACTACCAGGCACATTTATCCTCCACATTCATCCTCACAACAAACAGCTTGTCTTTGGAAGTAGAAAAGGTTCCAAAATTACACTTGTGAGGGTCGTGTTACGGGTAAATTCATTATCAGTCTTTCCTTCTAAATGTATTAAATGAACTATGTAAGGATAACCCAAAAAGTTCTTTTTAGTCAGTTTCATCATTCTATTTGAAATCTATAGATTCTAGTATGTTGCAAGGCAATCATGACCCCTGTGAATATAACGATAAACAGTTCATTTGTCTCATCAAAATAAGAGAGAAAGGAAGGAAAAAAATATATATCCAAGGTAGGTTTAGCTTTCAAAATCCAGAGGGTGTTTGTGCTACTAAACAACTTCCTTACCTTGAGCAAGTCCCTTAAATGTTCTTGGATTCAACTTCTAAGATAACATTAAATAAATAACCTCCAGGGTTCCTTCTAGTTTCATTGTAACAAGTAGGAAACCTCTCAGGAAATATCTTGGAACAACCATGGTCAGAGAACCAAGGTTCCAGTTGGGCTCCGCATTATCCAGGGCAAATTATGACCTTTTACACCTGTTTTTTTACTTCCATTTATGGAGGGAGAGGATTTATTAGATGGCCTAGGAGGATGTAGGCAAGGAAAGGCCAGCTGTGGATAACATGTAAGAAGACGGTGGTTAAACAGATGAATGACTCCTCAGCCTTATCAGGGTTAGACAATACCAACAACGCAGAAAGACAGCTCTTTGGGATAGGTTATAAAACTCATGGTAAAAACCTTATCATTCATTCAAACTACTACTCAACAACTTAGTTACCCTGGATAAATCACCTGGACAAGCTATTCTGAATGAGATTCTCTGCCCTTGACTAAATATTCTCTTCTTTGTTTGAAAACATTTGGAAATAGGATGTCTTCATGAACACCAAGGGAGAAAGTGTTTTGGTAAGGAGTAAGTCTGTAATTTTAAGTCACATAATTGTAAGGGACAGCAAGTATAGGGAAGTGCCACCACCTGTCATTTACCATCTCCCGCCTATCACAGTCTTCTCTGCTTGATCTCCACACTCTTTTCCAACAAGCCTAGACAAGGCATAGAATCCTCAAAGTAGAGCTCCAGGCAGTCTCCACCAATCAATCAAAATTGGCACAAGAAATAGAAGCTATCTGCCAACACTGGTGTAGTGGAATAAGCATGGATCACCAGGTCAGAAAACTGAGATTCTATTTCAGGCTTCCTTAACTAACTTCCTACATTGTGGACTTTGGACAAATTATTTCAGCCTTTCCAGAGAAGTAAAATGAAGAGGTTAAGTGGGATGATTTCCTAGGTCCATATAACCAGTGACTTCACATTCACTGCAGATGACAAGAACTCCTTCCCTTTCAGACCCGATCTCTTTCTATTTTCTTGTAGCTGACATTGTTGTGTATTTGAGGATGAAGATTTCGAATGTACTCACAGTCTATGTCTGGATCCTCAGGGTGGCATCCTGGCATTTTATTTTTAAAAGCAGGATCCAGTATCATTGCCAACATGCAGTGGCTTGAATCCTGAGAGTTGGATACCCTTGAGTCATTATCAACTTTCGAAATAGGCCGCACATTCACACAGCTAACAGAAAGACACTTCAAGCTTTAAAATAATTTTGGATCTACATAAACATATCCGAGTCATGAAAAGACAGAGAAAGTTTAAAGAGCGGTCCAGTGAGGTAACAATCCCAGCCACCTTCTTAATCACCCCACCACCCCTACTTTTCTTTTTTACTAAGTCAGTAGTGCTTAATGAGTCATTATGTGGCTACCTCCTATCAGACTAAGGCCAACAAACCCACTTCTTGGGTATGAGTTACCTCTTGATTATTATTTAATAAAATACAAACTGTTCTAGTTTGTTACCTTATTTACAATAGGCATCACACATTTTTTTTAAGGCTACCTGGAACATACGTTACCTTTTCCTGAGGAAAATAAAAGCTTCCGTCTATCTAGATGAGGAAACATCCAAAGAGCAAGTAATTATGAGAACATGACTCTCTCTGGCATCCTCCCCTTCTCTCCAAGTGGTTTATGTGAGGACAGGGAATAGGGATAGAGGAACTGGAAACTCTTAGGAGTCAGGTGGGCTCCAAAAACATCAAGCAGTCCTCAACATCAGTCCCATGTGCAAGACAGCCACTTCAAGTTGTCCTTGTTCTGGTCTTGATGGTAGCATGAGCTCTGCACCATCCGCCTAAAGGGTGACCTAATGCTGAGTTCTGCCGGGGCAGCTGGAACAGGACAGGATTGTTTGCCACAGTGACCTGAGTCACTTCTCAGCAACATCTCAGGGTTAACAAGATCACATGTTCAGCTGCTACTTAAAGCCTTGGAGGCACTTCAACCTCTTAACTTGGGTAAGCATTAGGAACCTAGTAGGTAGTGTCCAACTCCTCAAAATAACTTTAAAGAGACTATACTCCCTTTCTTGAAGCTTCTAAGCACGGCAAGGACACAACCATCAGCTCTTGGGCCATGACTGCTGCTTTCAGTTACTAAAAAATTACTGTCAACCAGACACATTTTCTCAATTACTTCCTTTTTCTACTCAATTGTTTCTTCTCTTCTACTTCTAAGACAACATTCTTTTCACTCCCATGAGACTCCTAAAGTTTGAAGGAAAGTGAAGAAAGATGAAATTCTCTTAACAATTTTATTCTAGAGGCACTTTCTTTAAAGTGTACAGAGAGTGTTTAATAGTAGTAGTGATAGTTGTTTTAGGGGTAGACAACATGTAAAGAAAATAAATAAATTCCTTGCATTTTCTTGGGAAGCTGAAGTGTCTGACTTGCCAAATTTTGCAACAGGGCAATTTCCCTTTTTATTGAGATGAAAGCAGAAAAGACTCTAGAAAGGTTATGTTGACCACATGCATTGCTTTGAAGCAGAATCTTCACCTCTCCAAGTTACTTCTTATCTTTTGAAGAAACGTCTACTGAGCTGCTTCAGTCAGTCATTCACTAGTAAGCACTGAGGATCAGCTACACATCAGGCACACTATTAAACCCTAGACTGTGTTGATCCACTAGCCAAGGTTACTCTAATGCACAACTAGGTCAGTTAGCAGTGGTCCAATATCAGAGGCAACAGCTTCAAACCAGGCCAGGCAGGAAGCCATATGGAACAAGTCCTTGGTCAAAAAATTGCATCCCTTATTGTTAACAGAAAAAAGAAAGCAAAACAAAACAAAACAAAACCCCAAACATTTACTTGGGTGAATTCATAGCAATTTCTTTGTATACAGAAATCAACATAATGTAACTTTCCTTTGTTTCTGCCAAATCTATTAATATGAAAAAACTGCAACCAATTTACCTGATGAATGACCGATATTCTGTTTACAACAGAGGTGATGGTGGTGGTGGAGCACAGTATGTAGCCTGCCGCTGAGATGACATTTCCCAAACCTATATCACTTAGTATATAGTACCCTTAAGGTGCTCTGAAGGTACTAAATTCCTAGAGAAGAAAAGACGAAAGCCTATTCCATAGCTGAAATTATTAGCAGCCACAAATATCAAGTTCTGACAGCAAGTGTTTTCCTTTTCCTAATTCCTCCATGTCAACCCTTTGAGCACAGTGGCTGCTTCTTCCTCCCTTACTTAAGGATACTACATTCCCAAGACCAGTGGCTCCTAAACCTGCCTTCCAAGAATAAACATTCTAGGGTCCGACCCAAGACCTAATTAATTCCTTTCCTGGAATTCATAAGATACGAAGCAAGAAGAAAAGCCACCATATAATTAAAAAATACTTGCTCAGTGGTAGAACCTGAAGGTCTATTTTTAATAAATCCCTTTTTGTTTTCTAAGTTCTTAGAATAATTTTGAAGCTCTGCCTGGTTTAGGAATCACTGCTGCATACCACAATTTTATGGTGATTTTTTAAAAAAACTTTTTTAAAAGGGAGCTGTCCACCCTCCCCCCGCCATATATACACCCTTGTGGTTGCTCAAACATTTTTAACGAGCAATGAAGACAGCAGAACAGCTTCCTCTATTGCCACCGAAATATCCAGCAATTAGCAGACTAGACCCACAGATTCTTCACATTCTGAAGCTGTTAAAACAAACACTTGTGTGCCTGGTGTAGCGTTTGCTCACCAGCTCCCATGACTTGGGGAGGCTCCCTGTCCATCTAAATGAACAAGCCAGAGCTTCTGATTTCAGGTAAAAGGATAAATAAATCAAAGGAGCCTCAATCTTAGCTCTGAACTCCATCCAAACTTCAGAGGAAAAGATTTATTAATCCCCTGTTTACAATACAAAAATAATAACACAAAAACAAAATCATCTGCCATTAGCCAACTCTAATCTAATCTTTCCTTGCAGTAATAATTTTACTTAGGGTACTTCACCACTAAGCTTGGCCTAGCATGCACTGAAAAATGAACTGATGACACAGGCCTTAGGTACGAGGTATTCTGGGGAAAATGCAACTCCTTAGAATGAACTGGGATAAAATGTGAGGGTTAAAATCAAAATTAGCAAACAGGACCTTGAAGAGAAAAGTCTTTTCATTTTCGATCCACACACTGTTCTGCCTTCGCTGGGCCAGCATTAATATGGTCTCTGCTTCAGAAAGGCTTTGACTTTCCTGCTATTATCCTAGTCTTGCTTTAACACATACTTTATATTAGAATGCGTTCCAGGAAGCATATGGCATTAGAACTAGGTCAACCATTAACCAAATAACAGGAAACTGCTCGGCAGCGCACACCCTTCAAAAGCTTGCTTAATGAGCTGGCTCTTCAGAATATGTCCTTCAGTGAGGTTGGAACTAACAGGATCCATGGGTTTCTTTAACGCTGCAAGGTCACCTAATACCTAGAAGGCTTCTGCATATACTAGACTTTCAATGATCTAAATCATTCCATTGAAATGTTCAAGAACTAAAGTCAAAGGTGAAGAAGCATGCTTTCTGAATCTGCTTGACCATCTTCAAAGAACATGACTATCATCCTGGTTCGTTGCTTCATTCTTCCAATTCTGTTAAATTAATAGGAATCACTATATACTCATCTTTTTTTTTCATAACATTTTCCTCTATATTCCTTGAGGCTTCCATACCACCAATTTACCCTAAAAAATACATGCCACCATCCATTTAGACTTAATAGGTCAAAGAAAGTATTGGAAAAAGACCTGTCTTCCTCTTTTACATAAAACTGCAAATGAGTTTCCTCCAGAACCAATGGCCTTGAATCACTGACTGCATTTGAGTTTTTCTTCTCCAATGTTTCAGACTCAGTTCTATGAAATTTAACTCTCTAGTGCACTGAAGAATCATTCAAGATCGTACTAATAAAATGTCAACCGCACATTAGTATCTTTCAGAAGCTACCAACAACCAAATTCTCCTTGGCTTCTTTAACCTAGATTGTTAGGCATTCTTACTTCAAAATGTACATAATATGAATAGAGGTGGGTAGTTTCCTTTGATTAAGAACTTACATTAACTTTCATTTTTTAATTGAATGTTGTATTTCAGGCAGCAGTGACTGCTCAGAAGCAACTAAGATACTATTTTGTTTTAGATATATAGGCATTTTTAAGGAATAGATATTTAGGACCAAGAGGACATTTTTAAAAATGCTGTTTGGTTTACAGACTCCGCACATTTTGACTGTGTACATCTGTTTTAGGCACTGCTCAAGGTAGTGGTGAATAAGAGAGACTCAGCCTGCCTTTCTGTAGCTTCTAGTCTACTCTTGTTCAGGAACTCATTATGAAACAAACCAGTGGTTGGCCTTCAATGTTGATCAGCTACATTTCAACTGAATAAGATCTTTTTCCCTGAAACCAGTCAATAAGGCTTCACTGCACACCAACATAAAGAGTTGCACACCTGACTAGAGGTGGTAGAAAAAAGGCTTTAAGACACTAAGACTGTTAAGTCTTTTGGATTCTAGATAATCAAATAGCTCACATCTGGGCCATTCTTGGAAAATTTCAGGTTTACTATAGAGAAGTTAGTTGGGTAGCAACAGTCAAAACAGAAAACCAGAACCTCATCGAAGGAATTTAATATATAATCTATTACACAATGTTCAAGATAGTACAAACAGAGGTTAAGTCACTTTTCTTTTCTTTTACCAGATTTTGGAGTCATGTTTCATAGGGAAGCCCACTGGTTTTGAAAAGCCACCATATAATAAAAAATATTGCTCAGCTTCTTTAGCCAAGAAGGTGTATATTTATCAATCTCATCAGTAAAAGCTTCAAGGAGCCCTCAGTTGGGATTTCATGTAAAATTCAGGTATATTCTGACTTCTAATCAGATAGTCACTGTTTATCAGTGCTCCACCAATAATAAGTGATTAATAAAAACTTAAAGATGTGAGGAAAGAAAATTAGGATTCTTTTATATGTCCACTATACGTCAGGCTCTGCACCAGAGATTTATAATCATGATTTCCTTTATTCCCTATAAGAACTTTACAAAGCGGATTTTTTTTCCAGATAAAGAAATTGGGGATCAAAGATTAAACCATTCCCTCGAGGTCACCCAGTAACTCACTGGCTCTGAGGTCTATGATCTTTCCAGCATACACCATGGCCCTCACCACCAAGGTCCTCACAGGCCTACCAATACTGACAGAAAAGGGTTCCCCTTCAATGTGTCCTCTGTGCTATAATCAAGTGCTCCTTCCTCGTATGAGTATGCTCTGCTGCTCCCAACATAATCTCCAGGTCTAGTGTTTGAAAAGATGGTCTAGAGTTTCTCAGAGTGCCCAAACACTGATGATGGAACAGGGTCAGGCCAGTTCCTAAAATACGAAGCAAGATGAACTCAGCGGGTCCTCCTGCCAACTGTCCTCGTCCTTACTCATCTGGCGAAGCATGCCAAGGCCTGCCTAGAATGACGCAGGAAAGGGTCACCATGGGTGATCCTATACCCCTCCAAATTGTTACAAAATAAAAGCTCAGTGCTGAGGCAGGCTGGTTCCTTGAAAACCTGCCAATACTGTTTTGTAGGAATCAGAATTCTTGAACTATTTGCATCCATCAACCTCAGAGTTAAACCCAAGAGGTACAGAGGAACGTAGAGGTCTAAAGGTGAAAGGTCTAGGAATCTGTGGACCCAATCCATCTTGGGAGTCCAGGTCCCCACACTGCCTACTAGACATTCCTTTTTAATTCACAAAGAAGCCAGAATGTTTTACTTTTCCCTTACAGTGAAGTTCTGACTACAAACATACTTAAATAGAGACATATAGATGAGTATCAGTTCTGAAAGGCCCAACTTAAACCATTAATAAAAATGTAACTCAACAACCACTCTTTCCACTCTAGCAGCTCCACAAAACTGACACCAGAAAGGCAGGATCACTGAAATTTAGAGTTATTTAATGTAAACAAACACAAAGTCCACACTTGGGTTAGGAGACGTGGCTAATTTTAGATTAGTGTTTTACACAGGATGAAATGAAGCCTTGGACTTCTCACTGATTTAATGCAGCCCTCGTACCTACATTTAGCCAACGCCACCTCAAAGTTTTCTCAACTATGGAAAACAAGCAGTGAGGTAGCTGAAAGAAGGAATTCATTTCTGCACGGTGAAGTTCTCACAGGCAAACTGTCCAGTATGTCCTAGCTCCTGGACTGAACAGGCTCGGGCTGCATCATGAGCTGACCCTGAGAAGATTTCAGCATTTAGGAATATCTGAAGAGTCAAACTTTGCAGTGCTTCCACTGATCAGCATCTGAGGCAAGTATTCATTCAAGAGAGGCTGTGACAATCCTCCTGAGCAGGCGGCAGACATTGAGAGGGCTCTTGGTGATTATGAGCAACTCTGTTCGTCCCGTTCCTAGGAAAGCTCTGGAAAACTCCATGCCTTAAGTGCATAGAGACACAGCCCCAGATATTAGAAACAAGTCAAACATCATGTTCAACTGCTACAAGTTGCTACAGTCCCAGATATGAGAAACAAGTCAAATATCATGTTCAGCTGCCACAATTCCAAGAGTCATTGAGTTGCTCTCTCTCCCTTTAACACAGCTGTGAAGTTCACTGAATGTCCAGCCAAGTGTACTTGTGAATTTCTTCCCTTCTCATGCCAGTGAGAGGACCCGGTTTCAGCCTGGTGGTGTGATGTATCTGCTCATCAGCTTTCAGGTTTAACAAGGGAAAACAATCTACCCCTCAAATTGTAGAAGCTTTCTTTCCAGGAGAACTAGACAATCCTGATGGCTCTCTCCAGTTACATAGCAATTATGTAATTGCTAAGCTTCTGCAGAATCACTGGAACCATTCTGCAGCCTTCCACCGACTACAGCTGCAGCACAATGTTCCGAGATGATTGCAGCCTTTGAATGGATGGCCGGTCTCAAATCTGAGCACAAAGGGACATACAATGGGATTCCATCTCAAGCACAAAGATGCTCCTGCCTAATGAAGCCCTTTCTCCTCCTCCCAGTCTGTGCAGTAATCTCTTTCCTTTGCCCGCCCTACATGTGTGTGGAATGTGGTTTACTCTGTTTATGCTGACAGGTTCCAAAAGAGGCAGAGAAATCAGCTGAAGTTTTGCCATGGACCATGCACAAGGTAATCATTTAACAAATAATGTGAAAGCTCCAGAAGAGGACAAGAGACAGGGGTAGGGGGTGGAAAGCATCTCTCTAGGCTTCCTGCATTGGCATGAAATGACTGCTTCCCTTCCTTCTGCCAGCTCCAATCCTTCATGTTGACATTACACATCCTGTACTGTAGATCCACCCCCATGCTGCTGCTTGCCCAGCTGAATTATCTCCTGCGTCACAGCGGTGGTAACAGAACTGCTGGCTCGGCAGACCTGAAAGCACCATTTCAATGCTTAATGCATTCAGCAACTGGACACATTACCAGTGCATCAGGGCTGGTTTGTGGCCCTCTCAGCAGCCATACAATACTTGACCTAACCTTCTGCTAACCAGATGGTCTGTTTGCCTCTTGGGACCAAACCATTAAACTTTACTTTATTAAATTCTATCCAAATGTGGGGACAGTTTACAGCAGCGTGTCTGGTTCATCTCCAACAGGGTTGCTAAGATGAAAATGACCTAAAAATAACTGGAAACTCTACTTCACACCAACAGAGAACAAGATATTTTGGAGTAAATATTTAAATGATCTGCCAGATTACGAACCACAGCAGCACTGACTATATGGTTAGCAGATTATATTGTAAATATATACACACAAAAACACAGAAATGAATGCATCTAAACAGGAATCCATTACCCACAGCCTAAGCCACTCTTCACCATCCCCTGTCTCCAAGCTACCTGAATGTGGTTGACGACACCTATCTCCATCATAATCACTCAATTACCAAAACAAAGAGCCTAACACAACTGTGACAGAGAGATCTCATATCACCTGGGTTTGACCACCTAGGCATACTACAGGCATGCTTAGTACTCAAAAGGAGCTTAGTAAGTATTTGATGAATGAATAGAGGTATGGGCACACATTCCTTAAATAAGCAGCTTCTATAAAACACATGAAGATGAAGACACTAAATTCTTTCCACAAAGATGGGAAGAAACCAGAGTTGGAAAGAATTTAGTGTCTTCATCTTCATGTGTTTTGTAGAAGCTGCTTATTTAAGGAATGTGTGCCCATACCTCTATTCATTCATCAAATACTTACTAAGCTCCTTTTGAGTACTAAGCATGCCTGTAGTATGCCTAGGTGGTCAAACCCAGGTGATACGAGATCTCTGTCATCATCCCACAACTGCTAACTAGGCATGTAAAAGCAGGCATCGGATGAATGGCAAGAGCAAGCCATCTGTACCATAGGCACTGGGTGGCCCCTGACTGATCATTGCAAATGAACTGTAGAGGTGGCTATTTATTGGGCACCTGGCAGGGTACTGAATACTTTACATATATTGTGCCTCTTAGACTTCACCAGAAAGAGAATCCCACTTTCAAGATAAGAAACTGGAGCAGAGGAACAATTAGGAGCTTCACCTAGGTTCACAAAGCTAGGAAGTGGCAGGAAGGGGTGTGAATTCACATCATACTCCAAAGCCAGTCGCTTTCCTACTACTCTGTAGTCACAAATAAGCAAGGATCCTAGGACATGAAAAGAATCGAATCCATGTGAAAGTGGCATTCCCAAATACATCTCTTAAGGACGTGGACAAACAGACAAGTCTTTCAAGCATCCTAGGGAGTCCGGGGTTCAATTCCTACTCTTTCATCCCATATTTCTTAGTGTATTAGGGCATTCTGTACTAGTAACCATGGTCACACACTCACAGCTACATCTCTGCTCCTTTAGTTTTGGGTTTACACTTTGGAAACCAAAAATCTCTCATTTAAGAGGATCCTAGAGATTTGAACAAGAGTAAATAAACACAAGGTTTTTCTTTCCTCCTCAAACAGCCCTGGATACAAAGTTAGAGTGGCAACTCTAAAGTTTACTTATAATTAAAAAATAATAACATTCCAGCTGGGTGCAGTGGCTCACCCCTGTAATCCCAGGACTTTGGGAGCCCGAGGTGGGTGCATCACTTGAGGCCAGGAGTTCAAGACCAGCCTGGCCAACATACTGAAACCCCATCTCTACCAAAATATATAAAAAATTAACTGGGGATGGTGGTGCATGCCTGTAGTTCCAGCTACTCGGGAGGCTAAAGTGGGAGAATCACTGGAACCCGGGAGGCAGGGCTTGCACCGAGCTGAGATCATGCTTGGGCGAGAGAGCAAGACCTAAGCTCAAAAATAACAACAACAACATTCAAATGACATCTTTTTTCTCTGGAAATTTCCCAAACGTAAAAGTAAAAATTATGAGTACTTTGCTTGTACAGGTGAAAAAATCACTATTCAGTTTTACCAAAGAACCACTAACATGTTCTTCATCTTCGCCACTAACATCCACACCACCACCACCACCACCAATAAAGCTACCAATGAATGTTCTTTGGGCCAGACCCAATAAGGTAAGTCTGGTTAAGCCTTACCAACACCATTGCATGTTTTCCAACATTTTAAAATATCATCTACCCTTAAAACACTCTAAAATTAGTCTCCTTACCCATGAGGTGTGAAATCATCTGATATTATAGTACATTAGTGAGACCGAGTAGACGTGGCCTATTAAAATAAACATTTGCACAGAGAAAAACCAAAGCATTTCTAAGCCAGGCTAGAGGGCAGTCCTAAAACTGGCTAAGAGATAGCTATGTGAGTAGAGCGACAGGGAGGCATACAACATTCATATAAACAGCACAGCCAATATTTTCTCTGCAACAAGGACAATTTTCTTAGACATATCATTTTTGCCGGAATGATACCAAACAATAGGAACAGTAATAACATCTTTCTTCTGAAAAGCTCAAAAAACTTCATGCTTATTAAAAATTGTTCCCTTACAACACTTCAGGGAATAGCTCTGCAAGGTCAGGTTGAAGGCACTGTTACCATGTAAACGTACTTTTCCAAAAAGAAATGCCATCATTCTTGGGTAGTTTACAAGCACCTACTGAATGCACACACAGCAATACAGAGTGTTACTTCATCCACAGACCATCCGTTCAAGATGTAATATAGTCTACCTGGGAATGGACGACCACAGCAAAGACTACTTATCAGTAAAGACAGACACAGCACCAAATTAAACAAGCACAATTCTAAAAACTGGGTTTAAGATCAAGAACAAAATACCTAATATACTGACCAAAGATAAATGGGGCAAAGCCCTGGAGAAGATCTCTGCCTCAGTTTCTCTATCAGTTAGGAAGGAAGAAACTATCCCTTTTTTGAGTGCCCATTATGAACCAGGACTCTTATACACACTTTTTTTAAAAAAATCCGTATGTTAGTTCTACAGATTCAAATTATAATAATTCCTATTTTACTGGGTAGGAAATCATGGGGACAGAGAAGTTTAATGACTTACTCAAGGTCTCACAGCTAGTAATGGACAGAGACAAATTTCAGCCTCAGCTTCTGTAGCCCCAAAAGAATATGCTCCATCCACTAAACATCACTTTCTCAAGAGAGACCCCTACACAGAGAACTGCATTCTTACCCCAGAAATTCTAAGTGATGACTGCTAGGTGGAAATTTGTACTCTTGATGTTTTAGAGAAAAATAAGTGCCTAGAGAGCATCTCTATGTACAGAGATACACATGTGTACATATATACATATATACATACATAAATATATATGGTAGCTGAGTTCCCAGTTGTTCTTTAGACAGATAAATTGCGCTGAAGTTCAGCCATAGTGCGAAAGTTTTAAGTGCATTATTTTCCCATATAGTTGTATGTCAGAAAGGGAAGGCTGCCAAATGACAATCTGGCCCAGTGATTCACGGTGTCACACTGACATACTCACACCGTATCACTTCTGATACAGGTTGTTGTTTGTATTTCCTGGAAATCATTGACTTCATCTGGGAGACAAACAGTAAATGTCCCTAGTAATTACATGTTCTTTTTTTATACTAGAATACACTGGCAGCAAATTTCATAATTTGGAGGAAAGGAAGGGGTGATATAAAGTTAAAAGTTCTCGATTTACAGTTCCTCAAATCTTAGTGATCATGTTGCTAAGGCATTATCTTAAACACAGATGACTCTCTTTTTCATCTTAAGATTATGCCTTATAAAGTAAAAGATCTATTCAAATGAATCACATTCAATCGACTTAACAGGTTTCATGTGCTGAGGAAAATAACAATCCAGCCAATTTGGAATTTTATGCTTCAGGATTCCTATTTGCTGATTTACGAAAGTGCTGCAGTTATATCTGACCCCTAAAAATTTAAGAATTTCGTTTTCTGTAGACACCAGCACAAGCTATACAATATGTGCATGGTCACAGACAAAATAATATTGCTACCGACCTTTTCACTAAGATGGGGGAAAGATCATGGAAAAGCGGCAAGAGGGGAAGAAAGAACAGGCAGAAGCACATTGAAAACATCAGATATTCACTATTCAGAAGCTGCTTCAAATAAGATTGTTAACACTTACCTATGCTGGGGTCAATTTTGATAATTGTAGTTGACGTCTAGAAATGGGGTTATGAATATAATTATCATGAAGCAGCAACTGGGCAATCACAACCTAATTAAGCCCACTGACTAGATTATCTTGTTTTCCCCTAATAATCACCTAACATTTAACACTTGCTAATTTCAGGACCTTTGGGTGATGTTCACTCATTATTAACAAGCTACAACCACTGGTCAGAAAAAGAATGGGTGAGGTATTCTGAAACACTGAGTCAACCAAGGGGCAAAGATGAATTTCAGGAACAGCTGACATCTGTTCTTCAACACCACTTCAGTTCTCAGGCCTGCAAAATTTCTAATTGGAGGCAAAGCCACAGGAGAAGATGGAATGAATGACAAAATCTTCCACACAAATGGGAAAGATACAGTTCTGCCTCCTTAAATAGGTGCTATTTTATGTGATCTGTACAATGCACTTTTTAAATTACCATAAAATCTATCTTTGTAAATGTGGTTTTCCTTTCAAGAGGATTAATGATTCCTTTCCAGGCCTGTATACATACACTTTCTACGTTTACTTCCTTAGAGTATATTCCATGCTTTCTCTCCTATGGAACCCCTCATGTTGAATGTGTTCACAAATTCCGAATTCTCACTGTATCTACAAAGCTATGTTGACCCAGTTCACCTGGCTTCCTGCAAAGCAATTCCTGAAGGTAGCCTGGGTAGATTTCCTCAAAGAATTAAAAGGAAAACTGAAGAAACCCATTGAGAACTGGTCTTTGAGTCAGGCTGGTCTGAGGGATTATCCTAGAATGCTAGGCACTAGTGCCTCGGGTCACAGTTTATGCTGTCTAAGGCTGAATGGAGTCCCTATTCCTCTAAATTAGAAATTCTGCCCAGAGAACAACACGCTTCAGTTCCACTTTATTGTCTTTAACTATACAGTTCAATTGTTCACTTTATATATTTTTTTCTGAGCCTTTTTTTCTATTTTAGTCCTTTAAGAAAATAACAGTTTTTATAAATTTGGTAAATAATGATACGGATGAGAAGTAAAAATGGATGACTCCATGGCCTCCTCTGGTACACTTTATAAACAGGGCATGTGTTTATCCTTCTACAAAGGTTTTGATTATGGGTCTGTCCAGGGACCAGAGATCTACTGAATAGATCCACGGCAAAGTGAGGATTTTATAAAACCACTTAGTTGCTTCAGGGCTCAAGAGTGTACTCAGCAACTAACATCCAACCACCATCTTGCAGAAAAGCTACTCTCCTGGATATCGTAGGGCTATCTGGATCACTCTGTCTCCCTTAGCACAGTGTGTCACTCTATTACGACGTCTGTGCTCATCCGTGAACTTCCTTACTATCCTGCAGTGTTTCAGGGAGAGGCAAATCAAACCAAAGTACTCATCACCTCTCCGTGATCTAAACAGAGCACACGGTGATCACAAAAAGGGGCAGGAAGTATTCGCATTCACATTTTTAAGAGAATCTGCACCATTTTCCATAAATGACCATTAAAGAGAACTAATTTTCAAATGTCTGTGTAGCTTTTGAAAACATTTCTCAGGCTGATAGTAACCAGAGCCAACACAGGGCACTGAGACTTCAAAAAGGGCCCTATGAAGAAAAAAGTAAAACACCTTTTCTACAATTAAAAAAAAATAAGTCACATAGCATATCTTTCTGCCATAACAAGTAGGTGGCTCCTTTTTTCTGAGTCTGATATAATTTTAAAATGTTTATTCCTTAAAAATGTCCCTTAAGGCCAGGCGCGGTAGCTCAAACCTGTAATCCCAGCACTTTGGGAGGCCGTGGGGGGTGGATCACGAGAGATCGAGACCATCCTGGTCAACATGGTGAAACCCCATCTCCACTAAAAATACAAAAAATTAGCTGGGCACGGTGGCGCGTGCCTGTAATCCCAGCTACTCAGGAGGCTGAGGCAGGAGAATTGACTGAACCCAGGAGGCGGAGGTTGCGGTGAGCCGAGATCGCGCCATTGCACTCCAGCCTGGGTAACAAGAGCGAAACTCCGTCTCAAAAAAAAAAAAAAAAAAAATCTGCAAAAATGTCCCTTACACGGCCTCTTGCTGTTTTTCCTATCGTCTCCTCTATAAGCTCTTCAGTTAAACACACTTTCTCAACCTATTACAGTAAGTTCTATCTCTCATGTCAACTAATATATTACAATTAATGTTCCATTATTCTCAGATTTACTTCCAGAACTCCAAGGATATACTCCTGGCATAAGCAACTGGAAGAGACAAACCATCAAGAACGTAAGCTATGAGCAGAGCAAGTAATAACCAAGGCCAGGTCCCACCAGCTGAGAGCCAGGCTTCTGGAGTCAGGCCCCACTTCATGTGAATCCTGGGTCACCAACTTTGCAGCCTCATGACTTTGGCTAAATTACTTTACCTCCCTAAACCTCAGTTTTCTCTACCCTATGAACAGTCCCTGATTCATATTAAATGTTAGAAAAAACAATTATCCAGTATTACCTATGAGTCAGTTCAGGAAGGGAGACAGCATTTAAGGTCTATGTGGTATTCCCACTCTACAGTGTTGGCAGATTTTTTTGATGAAGGAATCATTTATTTTCTATTGTTCTTACCCAATATTAGAACAGACAATATTCAATTGACAGCAGAAAGGAGAGAAGTTCTTGCAGCTGAACTCTGACATTCAAATGAGAAGGGTCTCTTCTGAGGCCAGGTGCAATGGCTCACACCTGTAATCCCAGCACTTTGGGAGGCTGAGGCAGGTGGATTGCCTGAGCTCAGGAGTTTGAGACCAGCCTGGGCAACATGGTGAAACCCCGTCTCTACTAAAATACAAAAAATTAGCTGGGCATGGTGGTGTGTGCCTGCAGTCCCAGCAACTTGGGAGGCTGAGGCAGGAGGATTGCTTGAACCCAGGAGGTGGCAGTTGCAGTGAGCTGAGATCATACCACTGTACTCCAGTCTGGGTGACAGAGCAAGACTCTGTCAAGAAAAAAAATTTAAAAAAGAAAATGGACTCTTTTACAAAGACCCCTTCCCACTTATTATTATTAAATACTAATTAGTCTTCAGAGAAGACTATTTAAGATAGAAACCACAGAAGAGAAAAGATTTTGGGTGATAAGCACTTATTACTGAAATCCTTACATGATCTCTAGCTGGTATCTGTCTTTGGTCATCTTCAGTCAATAACCCAGCATTCAAATTGTACCCCAAATGAAGGACCCCTCTATCAGGCCCATGGCAACCTGGGTTGAATGCTGGTGCTCCATTGCTAACTAAGTGGTCATAACACAGAGGGATGATGTAATTAGGGATTAGAATGGCTCAACATTCTGAACCGCAATGGCCTTATTTTGGATTTTAAAATGCTGGGACTGGATGGAGATCAGCTTGTGACGCTTGGCTCAAGCCAATGGCTTAATCCCAAACTGACACCAGGCAGTAGTCATGGTCCATTCCTTTCCCCTCTGAAAAGGCATGTCTTTGTTCTTCATTTCTTCTAATACCCAGGGCATAGGTAGAGAAGTTCTATGGATCACTTTAGAGAGGACTATCACATTTTCTGTCCATTAATAATGCAGCTATTTTCTGCCATGCTCTATTCTCTACTTTGTTCATTTTCCAGGAAAATCTCCACCTAGGCCTACTTAACCAGTTCCCTCCAGTTTCCATCTGTCCTTTGTCAGAAAGGCTGTATTTGTAACCCCAAAGTCACATAAATTGTCCTCCAAACCCAATTCTATTTTTTACAATAGGAAGTGGCCAAAGAATGTGGATCTGAGCACGGGTCTTCATATTTCACATGTGTTAGGTACCAAATTACAAGGTCTTTTTCTACTTGCTTTATTGTTTCTTAAAAGCAATGCCTTAGTTCTTCCTGTAGGCTCTTCCCAGTGGATAGACTTCTATTTCAACTAGTCAATTACTTTCCTGCTTCTCTTCTTCTTTTCCTTCTCCCATCCAAGCAGTCACTCCTTCCCAGCAAATTTCCACCATATAATTACAGCAATGCTTTAGCCTACTTTCCTGTTAGCTTTAACAACCTTGTCTATTTTCTACTTGTGCTGATGCCACTGTTTGCTTTTCTGACCGGCTAATCCATGTATCCTTTCAAGGCCTAACTTCCCCTACCATGATAGCAGCTGGAGCTCTAATTCACAGGTGCCTTCCAAAGCTTTTCATTAGCAACAGAAATGAGATGGTTTAGAAACTCATTTCTTAATCTGCAGGTGAGTATTGGAACCTTTGTGCAGCAAACATCTTTCAAGTATCCCACATTGTGCCACTGCACAATTATTTCTGGAGTAATAAGTACAATGTTAAGGCACATTTGTAGTGTTAACGGGGAGAATTTTCCCTTAGAGGAAATCAGCTCCCACCCCCCAGCCTCTGGCATTTCCCAGTTCAGAAGAGAAGCACTCAGCTGACAAGAGCAAAACCGAAGAATAATGGTGTTACCTTCTTAAATCAGAACAGGAAAAAGAAGAATTCCAAAATTTGGAGGCTTTAGCGTGTGTTCTGGTTCAACTGGCCAGACGAGAACTTCGGAGTGAGGCTGGCCTTCCCCAGCTGGGCTCTGTGGCAGCTAAGCCTCTCCACAAATCCTGGGCTTAATTACTTCTGACACAGTTGTCTCACCTGGGCCTACAGCTCCTTTTGTGCTCCAACCAAGCTGAATCCAAAGGTAAGACTTCGCTTCCTCATCTTGGGCAAATGCTTAATTTCCTGCTAAGTGATCCTAAAACATTTTCATCAGGATCTATTGGTTCCCAGCAGATTTTTCTCCATCTTTCCTTGTGTGGTCTTTGTTAAAATTTGTCTATGTGAAGGTCTAGCAAATAACTTCCTGAATTATACAGTTCTCTTCTTCAAGTATTAATTTTTTTTTAACAAGTAAGTACCTATCAACCTTCCCTTCACCCTAAAGAGCAGGGTCTACTCTTTGAATAAGGTTAAGGATAAGATGTGGACAGGCACAGCACAAGTATTTTATTAATATCCAGAAGCAACATGCAGTGAACTGAACAAGCAAACACATGAAAGCAAGGAAATCAATACCAAAATACCCATGACCTGGCACACACAAAAAAAACCCTTCTCTCCAAGAATAACTCAAGAAAAAATGTCTCCAGCTAGGAATTAGGCAAGAATGCTTTGAAGACACCAAGCAATCCGCTCACCAGAAGTAAAAGACAATGCATTTGTAGGTGACATTACTAGCACCTCCTCACACCACACCACTCATTTCTTGTCTTTCTAAGCCATGAAAATAACTAACTTTGTATTGGTATCACACATCCAAAGACGTTAAAAATCCTCTGTGTGCTTCAGCTGATGAGGATAGGAGGACTTAGAAAAGAGATACATTTTATGATAGCATTTCCAGGCACAAAATGTAAATCCAAATTGCTTCCAATGGACTTCCCATTTATCAGTGTGCGCAGTTCTCCAAATACAAAGTTCAAGGGGACAAAAAAAAAGAATCCAAAAGAGCTTCCTAGTAAACTGCAAATACAATCTAAATTCATAAAAACCCATTTTCCCACATTTGGAAACTTCTTCTCCTGGGTCTTATAAATCCAAGGGACAGTTCAACTTACAATTATCTTTGCTCCAATGCCCCCCCCCCAACCCAAACTTTTTTTTCCTTCCTTTAGTACTGGCATGCAAACCATGCTGTTTTAACTTCTTTCCTGTTCTCCCAGTTCTTCTGGAACATTTTATTTTTGACAGTCAACTCATTTGGAGGAATGCCACACTGAGGTTCAACTGTTTACAGCGTTAACTGTGTTTCTGCCAGAAGTCCACATCCAGCACTACCTTCTCCACACTGCCTCCAGGATTAAAAATTGATGCATTCGTTTGGAAGAAGCTTAGAAAATGTGGAAACTTCCAAACATCACTCTTCTTCTTTATAAAATCGCTTTTGCTCATTCAAGAAGAGACAGAAGTAAAAATCCACTGTACCCTTCCTTATGGGACTGTCCTATTGCTCATGGTTAAACGGTGTTTGTGTTGTTAAAAGTCATTTTAATGATGATTTCATGTATATTGGGAAAATGGGAAAAGGTTAACCGTCAGTCTGCAAGACAGAATTGGGCTCCAAGAAGATACATGGAGGGCACATTTTGAATGAGTAAGAACATTGGAAAACCACCAGTAATTGTTTCAGACTGGATTTCACCTCTCAGCCATTCATCAGTATTACAAAATGGCATCTCTGAAAGGAGCCAATTTAAATCTGTACCACGTTGCAAAATAGATCCTCAGAGTCCATTTGTGGCCACTATTGTAAGTTGCAATAGACTCAGACAAACTTCCCAAAAAGGACATTTGAAAAGGGCTCCCAAGCCCTTGGATGATGGAATGAGAGATGAGAGCAGGAAAGATGAAAAGTACAGCTACAAACCCAGGAGCTAACACTTTACTGAATGTCACGTGAACAAAATTGGTCTCTGGATCTATGAATGAAACCATACTCAACTCTGAGCTCCCCAACATGTTAAATCCAACTAAGAAAAATCCATACCTCTGCCCACTAGTGTGTGAGTACAGAGTGTCTCAGAAAGCCTTGAGCCCTGGAGAAGAGAGTGGCTATTTCACAACCCTCAACAATCAAATGCAACGGGGTAGTGGAAAGGGCACTAGGCTGGAGTTAGCCGACCTGAGTTCTAGGCCTGGCTTGGTTACAACTGAACTTTCTGACCTTGTGCAAGTCACTTCATGTCTTTGTGCCAGTTTCCTCTTCAGTATAATGCAAGTGGAGGGAGGAGACTTAAACTCTGATTTCTCTAAGGCCTAAGACAACAAAATAAATTGGAAGGTCTGCCTGGTAAATATTAAATACCTCATAGTTCTTACTTACTTGTCACTTTAAAAATAATTTTTATGTTAATTTCTACATGAGAAATAATATTTTTGTTCCTCACCCCAAAACTTCAGTTTTTACTCCCTACTCCCTAGAGTTCTTCCACATAACATTAAATGCCTCTTTTCCTTTCTTTCCTATTTTTTTAAGCAACCTTCCCCAAACTAAGACTTGTGCTATTAAAAGAGCTTAGAACTTCCCATTTCCTTGCTAGGGCTAAAATTAAACTGTCCATTCCTTAGGGCCCGACATAACATCTGCCAGATGTCTTGGCATATCACACAAGGAGAGGAATTTTCTTCTAGCATTATCTACTCTCCTCTCTGTTTTCTCATAATCAATTAATAGGTCACCAACACCCAGCTAATGTTTCTCTCAAAGCCATCAACTCCATAAGTATGTGAAACTCACAAGATACTTGCTTTCACACACACCCACCCCCCACCCCCCACACACACAGTTTTGGTTTTTTTTTTCAGTCCACTGGATTTTAGCTTTCAGTCATGGAAATATTGTTCCTCCACTTCTATCAGATATACCAACCACCCGAGTCATACATTCATGCCAGATTCTTAGCAATAAGAGTCCATTATGTATATGTCTCCTAACTGTGACTGTGGCATTATAAAATAACATCTCTGTTCCCCAACTATCAATTTAGAATATCTGATACAGCTTTCTCAATTCCATGATGCAGTGAACTATAAGTCTGAAAAAGGCACATACTGGAAAGAGTAAGTAAGGTTACCTTAACCAAGAAATCACAGCAACAAGGAATAATTTAAGACAGACTAGACCCTATTAAACTCCATCACACAGAAGAAAGGACTCTTTCCCATTGCAACTTTACCATTCCTTTCTTTCAGGAAAACTGACCACAAGTACTCTAAAGTCCATTAGTAGAGTTGGATTTTTTTTCTCCTTCTGTCTTCCGGAAGGCTCATTATGAAGAGTAGATAAGTTTTTTTTTCCCCCCCTCTAAAAGTTGTTTCCAACACCAAAGAGTACGGGGGAAAAAAACAATTCATCAGGGAATGTGGTCAATGAATTAGAATGACATAAATCCAATATGAGAAATATTATGGAATATGAGAATCCAACAAGAATTTTTCTTATGTCAGTGTGCATCATAGCTTGCAAATATTTCCCATGATTTCTCCTTGTGATAGAGGCATGGCAAAAATTTGCATAATAAGCCACATGAACTTGTCTCATAAATAAAAATGATCTTTGGGTTTTGACATTAAATGAAAATGTCTAATTTGACACTTTTTCTCTCATGGTGGTTTATCCAAAATGCTTGTCTTAATTCAAATGGGTATGTCTAGAAAAATTCAGGAAGCCATGTCCTTAAATATTATGGAGTTTGCCATATTGATGAAGGGCATCGGAGATGAATGTGTCTTAGATAACCAGTTAGAACACATTCCCAAATTCCAAGATGCCTCTTAAATACCTATTTTTTGCCCTCCAGAAAAGTTCAGCTCTAAGACACCAAAACATTTGGTTGCAAAGTGAAAAATGTGGACAAACTGCTGAACTGGCAACCAGGCTGTTAGATTTCTCCCCCCTGCTGAAATAAGCAAATGAACCACTTGTCCTGCTATCAGTAACAATAAAAAAAATCATGAAAGTTTGTTTCAAGATCATTATATAATGTACTTATGTTTACATAAACATACATGGTTAATTAGATGTAAAATTATCTGGTAATTACTTTTCCAAATAACTCTTTATCCATTGCATCTGAACTTCCCGGTCTGGACACCTGGTTTGGTGCATCCATTTATGCATTAGCAAATTTAAATATAATATTGGTGAAATTTCACTTCAGAGCAAAAGTAACGCTATCAAAAGATAACGTTCAAAAACAAATAATAAAAGTTATGATTCCAAGAAGGATTTTTTAAAAGTGTTCTTGGAGAGGCCTAGGTTTTTCATAAAGGAGCAGAGATCTGAACAGAAGTATTTTTAAATGAGCATACACATCAACTGAAAACCATAAATTCTTGTCTGCACAAACATGGTTTTACTTCATTGACCATGGACAATTATCAGCTAAAGAACCATGTATTTCCCCTCTCCTTTCACACCCCTCAGAAGAACAATAACCCTCAATTAATGACACAACAGTTTGGTTTGAAAAATGTGATGTTGTCATATACAGCACTGTGCATTTACTGAGTGACAGTGCTACCAGCTACTCAACAGAATATAATTACATCTGGAATCTAAAACCACTTCAATATGCAGAAAAATGCTGTAGACATAAGGAACTTTACACACAAAAAATATGACACATAATGAGAAAGCAAAGCAAGAAAAATGCTGTTACAAGTTGCTCACCAATGTGTTCCTTATTTCTCTTGAAGCTGGTACCTTTCTATTATTTCTCCTTAGTTGAAAGCAAGGTCCAATTAGCCTCCTTAGAATATATTAATTGGTTCTGAATCTCCTCCAAGTTTTCATTCCACCGTGGAGCCCTCCTCACCTATCTTCAACAGTTCATCTAAAATTCTTCCAACATCTTCCCTCATCCTCAAGATGGCTACCTCACCTAATGGAAAAGCAACATCTTCATGGTTGGCTTTTATAAATTTCTGAAGCATTTCAGGATTTAGTTCTTTGCTTGGGTCACTTATGTAGATTCTCTACAACTAATCAGTGAAGAGCTCCCATCAATGTGTGGACTAGGGTAGGAACTCCGTCCTTTTTTCAGATTATCCTCACAAAATGTCTTCCTACATGATTAATAAATTCCTCCCAATTAAAAAGGTGAAGACACCTGGACATAAGTTTTTCTCAACCGACATACTGTTTTTAAAATTTGTTTCCATAGTGACATTGTTAAGAAGACATACTGATATTTCTGAAGACTTAGAGTACTTCAGAACACAGAAAAAAATAGCCGAAGGAAAGGGAAAGGGGGAAACAAAGGAACTAAAAGAAGGCCTAACATACAAATGGAACGACCTGAAGAGAATTGGAGAACCTGGAGAAACTGGTGTTAGTCAGTCAGTCTTAGAGTCCCTCTGAGATCTTGCAGGATTATTCTTACTATTTTTTATATTTGCAGAAACCAACCCAAATCAGACAATAAAGTCTTGCAATGCATCAAAACATGATGATAACCAAGCCCTAGAACTCAAAAAAAAAATCTCAGCTTAGGGCCATCACCATCTTCACAAGGAGGAAATAACATTTCCTGGTGACTTTCATGAGACCTGGTGCAGCTTAAAGTTGTGTGAAGACCTCAGTGGAAATGTTTTAAGGTTTTTGCCTTGCCTTTCCTGAAGGAGGTCAAAACCCTTCAGGTCCACTCAAAAGGAGAAAAAAATTCCAAAAGTTTACTTTAAAATGGAAACAAACGCCTCAATAACTTGTGAAAACACTCCTTTGGTGGGAGAAAAATCTGAGGAACCCTTAAAAGCCCTCATTTCCTTGCATAATGAATAGAGAGTGAGGAACCACCACAAGATTTCCCTCTGGAAAGGGAGAAGGAGTAGGCAAGCAAGCCTCCTCCTCCTCCTCCTCCACCCATCACCAACAGAGCTTCAAAATGGAGACATCCATAATTTTATAAACACTTCTCATCTCAGCTTTGTCTCCTGGAAACCCGCTCTCCTCCATTTTCTGGTGGAGTTACAACATGACACGGCTTACCTGACTCAGTTCCCAGCTCCTAACCAAACTAGTCACTTCCTCCAAAAACCTGCAAGCAACCTCCAGAAACAGAACCAAAGCACACCAAACAGCCAACACAGACACTCAGACACAGCCCCCGGGAGCCCTGGGAGAAAGCCCCAACTGGTTGGTGTATCCCCATCCCAGACGCGTGCTTAAAAATGAAACTTTTTTTTTTTTCCTTGGTTGGGGAGGAATATAAAAGGAACTCCAGGCAGCCTCCCTCCCTCTCTGTAGGTTAGAAGCTACAATGAAAAGAAAATGAGGGTTCCTTCAGGAATGGTGAACAGCCTGGAGAATGAACGTGAGAAGGAGCTTTGTGTTTTGGAGTCTGGACTGGAACCAAAGCAGACAGCTTGCAAATGGAGGACAGGGAGATAAAGAAAGGGAAAGAGGGGCTGCTCCAATGGGGGGCGGCTGCGGCTTCCCCTCGTGCCTGGAAGGAGGGCAGACCCCTGGGAACTGCACCAGGAGTGAGACGCCCCCCCAGGCCCCTGCCTTCCTTTCTCCTTTCCTCAGAGGAGAGCCAAGCGTGTGTAATGGCTTCTCCTCTCCAGAAACCGTTGTCCTCCTCCACCAGACGCGTCTGAACCCCCAGCCTGGAGACAGCTCCTCAGCCGCTCTTGAACCTGCGCCCCCCCACCCGGCCGGTGCCCCCAGCTCCTCGCCTCTCTGTTCACCAGCAGCACCGGCACCAGTGGCTGCAGCAGCCACCCCCCGACACATCCCGACCCCGCATCCCAACTTCGGGGAGAGAGAGAGAGGAAAGAGAGACAGAAGAGAGGAGAGAGAACCAAATACCTGAGGAAGAGGGGGGTGCCAATCCGCACGGCTTTGCCATCGGGCGGGGGACAGGCAGACAGAGTGGGGGAAAGGAAGGAGAGGGACAGAGAAAGAAAGAGGTCAACCCGCTCAGGTCGGGGCCGCTGGCTCGGAGCTCTCCCTCCTCTGACCCTCGCTCGCTCCCTCTGGCTCTCGGCTCAGGTCTCCGGCCTCCCGCCCTCCGCCCCCCTCTCTGTCCCTACTCCAGTCCCCACACTCGGAGCATCCGTCCTAAGCCTCCAGCTCTCTTCTCACTCATCTTTCATTTTCTCTTCTCTTCATAGAACTACACGAAATTAATTAAGCCACCGCGCTCACTCCCCCCAGCAGAAGGAGCAGCCAGCAGGAAAAGCACAGCCACCTCCACTGCCACCACTACCACCTTCTCCTCCTCTTCCTCCTCCTCCTCTTCCTCCCTCGCTTCTCCTCCTCCTCTTCCTCCTCCCCCTCCTGCTCTCCCTCCTCCCCCTCCTCCTCTTCTCTCTCGCTTCTTCTCCTCTTCCAACAGCCAGTCCATGCAGGGGACTTCCTCTCCTCCCCGCTCCTCCAACCCTCCTTGGCCGAATGAATGAGCGCGTTTGTGCCTCCACCACCCCGCGCTCTCCTCCCCGGAGCACTCGGACCACCCCGAGGTGGTTGTTAATTGCAGTAACTTACAGAAGAAGCGTCCCGGCGCCGGGAGGTGCTTCGGTTTCTCCAGCCCCACCGCCTCCTTATCCTCTTTCTCTTTCTCCTCTTCCTGCTCGGGTTATTGTTGTGGAAGTTGTTTGGGAGTCTCATGTGCTTCTGCCGGGTCTCAGCAATGGAGGATCGCCATCTTCCCTGCCTTCCTCGGCTCCTCAGACTCGCTGCAGCTGCAGATGACCTGAGATATCCGTCTCTCTCCCTCTCCCTCTCTCTCCCTCCCTCCCTCTCCCTCTCACTCTCTCTCTCTCCCCTCTCTCTCCTCTTCTCTCTCCTCTCCTCCCTCTCCCTCGCGCGCTCTCTCTCTCTCCCTCCCTCTGTGTCTCTCTCTGAATAATGAGCAACCAGGGGGAGAGAGAAAGCAAGACAGAAAGAGAGAAGGAAGACAATCTTCTCCTGCCACACAAAACGCCGGAGCACCAGGGGGTGCGCGAAGCCTTTCTAATAACAACAACAACGTGCAGGAGAAAGAAAAAAAAAAAAAAGAAAGAAAGAAAGAAATGAGGAAAAAGGCTAGGGGAAAAAAGAGGAAGAATTATCCAAGAGCTGGAGAAGAGCAGAAGGAGAAGCTGGAGGAGATGCTGAGGCTGCTGCTGCTGTCCCCCCTCCCCCCTGCTGAACCCCAGAAGGAGGCAAGGTGGTTGCAAAGTTAAGGCTGGGACATTGTCTTTGTCACTCAGAGCAACACAGAGCCAGGCCAGTGAGATGCAAGAGGAGGAGGTGGCGGCGGCAGAGGAGGAGGAGGAGGAGGAGGTGGTGGTGGTGGAGGAGGGGGAGGAAGAGGAGGAGAAGGAGGCAAAGGAGAAGGAGAAGGGGAAGAGGGAGATGAGATGAATAAAGACCTGCGGAGAAGGCGGTGCGAGGAGCGCGGCAGCCGAGCCAAGGCGTGCGCGCTCGCGTCCCGGTGGCGCCCGGCAGCCCTGACCCGCAGAGGAAGCCCCCGGTGAGGACCCTGCCCGGCAGATCATAGCGCTCCCACCGTCAGCTCTGCCCGAGGCACCGAGCCCGGGCCCCAGAGGGTCCCTCACTTGCATCCATCTAGAGGCCAACCTTTGCAAAGAACATACAGGGGAACTGGAGGTTGCAAGTCTAAACCCAGATCAACCACGTGGGGCTTTTTAATCCCTTTCCAGCTTGCGGTGTGAGTATTTCCAGTGAAAAGCTCAAATTGTCCATTACTGGCACGTATTTTGAAGTCTTCTCCCCTGAAATAAAGGCTCATTGTGCGTTTTATTTCTTTTCTGATATGGAAGGTGGGGGGTAGAGGAGGAAAACAGCCCATCATTCCGAGCTTCGGAACCACCACTTTCTTTTCCTAACTTGTGAAATGTTTTGACTGCGCACCAAAAGAAAAAAAGAAAGCCTGCTTAAATAACTTTACACCCTCCAGCCCCGCGTTGTTTGCACTTTCTGGTTGATCATCTAAAGGCTCGGAAAGTAACAATCAGCGCTCCTAATGATAAGGTGTCATGGTGTTGAAGACACGCGAGCCACGATGAAGCTTTCACACCTTGAATTTTTATTTAGCGTAATTCCCCCCCCCGTATCATTCAGAACTATCTCTTTCGCAAACGAGTGGTTCCCCCCTCCACCACCAGGTCGAAAGTCTCCTAAGGCTTTAATTGGACTGGGAGCGTTGTGGGGTGGGGGTAGGGGTTCTACAGTATCAAAAAAAATCAATGCAGTAAGTCAGGAGCAATTGAAGTTCAAGGGCATGGGCTGATTGTACCATTTCTATTTCTCGGATCTTGGAGTTGGACATCAACAACCTCAAGAGAGAAACGCGCAGCGCGCGGGGCAGAGACCTTAATTAAAGTTTCTTTTGTCCGCGTCTGAATTGGGGGATGTTGCTGGATTCCTTTGCATTGAGGAGCGCGCATCCGGTGAAGGCGCGGTGCTAAGGATCCTGGGCAAGGCTGTCCTCTTTAAATACTCGCTCTTTCTTCTACCATCCCTCCAAGCAACAGTCCGAGAAGATATATACCCATAAATCCATACAATAAAGGAGAAGTAGGAGACGCGCGCGGAGTTGGTTCCCATCCTATAGCGGGGCTTCCTAAACCGATCTAAATCGTCCTTTTCCAAGGTTTTCCCGACCCTATGATTCCTGAGCAGAATCTCTCACCCCGAGGCACGATTTCACCCACTTCCAGTCAACACTTCCTGCCCTTTTCTCCTCCCACTCACATTGAAAAGCTCGGGATCCCTAAAAGGGTGTTGATGGCGGGGGTGATAAATAAATAAATAAATGACACTCTACGCGTGCGGTGGGGAAGAAAGGAGGGGGAGGGAGAGGAAAGGCGAGGAGAGAGAAGAGAAGTAAGGAGAGGAGAAGAACAAGGCGCAGAAAGGATAGAGGCGAAAGGGGAACGGGAGTCACCGAGAAGAGAAAGAAGAAAGAAGAGAGGAGGAGGAGGACGCTGAGGCTGTTCCGGACTGAAATGATCCTGGCTTTGTGCAGCTTCGGGAGGACTCCCCCTTCCGAGTGCCCAGAGGGAACCAGGGAAGTCCTCCAGCCCCGAGCTCCTCCCCACCCGGACCCGGGGGTGTCTGAGCGCTGGCCGCCGCCACCCCGTAAATTCCTCGTGGCAACCGGAGGAAGCGCGCCAGGTCTCCGCCGTCCCTCCACTGTCCCGGCTGATAATTTACCTCTTTGTCTTTAATAAAAAGCTGACTTTTTCTATCAAGCTCTGCACCGAGAAAATAACAACCGTATTTCAGGTTGAAAGCTCCTATGACTGCTGGGTTTTGGAGACTGCGATAAAATCTTCATCGACGTGAAGGTACCTTCTGGGTTGGCTTTGGGTGGTAAGTCCTAAGAGGAGGGCCGTCCTTCCCTGGGGGCAGGGACGCAGGGAAACAGGCGGTGGGGAGGGAGGAAGGAGTGACGAGGTCCGAGGAAACCTTGGGTTTCCAAGGCTCCTGGGGCACCAAAGGGCTTCCCGCAGTCGGGGAATGAGCCCTGGGGAGGAGCCTTTTGCGAGAACGTGAGCGCGCCCCAACACGCCTCAGACCTCGTAAACCCACTTGGCAAAGACAGGGGAAGCGGCTGGCGGACCGACTGCGGTGAACTCAAGAAATTAACCTGCGCTGCAATTAAACGGGCTGCCGCCCTTTCAGACTCACCTCGAGCGACCGAAATAGAGAGAGCTCCCGAACCGGCCGCGGGGGGACCTGGCTCCACCCTCCCGTCCCAGGAGAAGAGGACAAAAAGGGGAGATGGACTTGGAGGTGGCCCCGCCCTTCAAACGCTCCAATCCTTGGAAACCAAACCTCCTCTCCAAGCCTCCACGTCTAGAAGGGACAAAGGCTTTCAGGCTTCTGGTGTGGGTTCATTGGGGGAAAGGTACAATGGTTAAGTTTCCATCCCAAATACGGTACCACAGGATGGTCTTTAGAAGACACACTCGGTCTTCTGGTTTAGAAGCAAACTGACTTCCTGAAGCTGTGAAGCGAACTATTGCAAAACTCCCCTGCTTTTTTAATGTGGGGGCGATACAAATTCAATTAATGATGCCATACACATACTCTTTTAGACTTTTTAGAAGTCACAAACGCTTTAACTCTACAATGATAGTAATTGAAAGAGGTTAAACATGAATGGGCTTTTTTTTTTTTTCTTTTTGTTTTTATTTGGGGCAATTTTTTCAAATGATAAAAAAAAAACTATGAATAAAAGCTGGGTCATTCAAGGAAAGCGCTGTGCCTGAGGGTTTTCGGTGAAGACCTTAATACACTTAGCATTTAAGTAACTGTAATTATGCTTTGCCATTAGCAGACCATTAAGATAAACAGGAGAAAGTTCACACCTCCTGCTATTTCATTCCCTAAGAATATTCACAAAGATAATACCAGGCTAGTTGGGGTTGGGTTATCTTCTCCATCAGGAGGTTTAAATTTGTTAATTAAAATAGAAAAAACTTGGTTTCCTACACAACAAGCAAGGTGAGGGAAGTCTCACAGGGACATCCCGACTCCTTGAAATTTACCTTTTTTTTAGTTTACCCTATGGCATTATCCCCTGGAGTCATATGGGGTTTCAAGACTATTAATGTTCCAGGGAATATGAATATGTTAGAAGTCTGGACTTTCTTCTCCCTTATCATGGGTGACTGACATACACACTCCTCATAAAGAGAAATTATGGCTCATCAAAAGAGTGACTTTATGAGCATTAATAGAATAATAAATCTTGCACTTTTAGTTCAAGAAACAGTGAAGTCCTATAATCAGAGTGACCCATGCAAATATGATCCATTCACTTGCCCAACTAACAGGATACAGATAGTCTATAAATCATTTTAGTTTTTAAAACCTTAAAAGGAAGGCACCCAAATCCCCCAAAGGAAAGTGTTTATGGAGGGAAAGGGACTTCTAGTAAACCTGCAAGAAGAGATCATGGAAAAATGAACAGTCAGTCCAGAAGCTTAATTAGATAGAATTTCAACGGCAACAAGAATGGATAGATGTTCTAATGTCATTGTTTCAATATTTACGTTCTATCATTTAAAAAGATACAAGTCTTCCTGCTTCCTGAAAGCTATATTTAAAACAAAAAATCCAGTTCATAGCCCCACTTTGTAAATTCCAGCTGGAAAACTGTTCAAGTAAATGATTTTAGCAAAAGAAAGAGTAGGTGAACACAATATGGCTTTTTAACCACATTGTCACACATCTCTTAACTTGGTATTTCCCTGCCTTTGTAAAACTTCCTTTCTATGCAATGCAACATAGTCTTTTTACTAATTTAGTTTGTTTGTGATTTTTCAATGAATTACCTATTTTAAATTCTTAAGAGCTTTACTCTTGCTGGAAATTACTGTCTTCAAAAAAATTTTCTCAAAACTTCAAATCGGATAATTGCAGAACCTCCAAATACCAAAAAAGTGAAGTCACTAGCACACCTTTCTGATCTCTTATAAAAAAATCAATATATTGTCATAAAGCCATATTTAAACATATGTAACTCGTTAGCTAGTGTCCATGCCTAGGGAAAGTGACTGAAAGAAGACAAAGGTGGATTAATCATGATTCTGAACCTCTCTCAAAGGAAGAAACATTGCAATAACTTATATTAAACTTAGTCCATATGAATCTTGGTATATATACCTTTGGATATTAAAGATGTTTTGAAAGTGATACTTTAAAATTCAAAAGAAAGTTTCCATAGGTAGAAGTTAAATGTACAGTTCTATCAAACTAATTATTGTAATATGTAGTGTATTATTGCTCATTCGGTCATTGAATCTTTGTTTAGCGTCTGTATTATGGCATTCTCAGAACTGAATACTAGAGATACAGAGATGAATAACTGAAATGAGTGAGATTTTTGAGGCATGATCTACTTCATGAACTACTAGCTTCAAAATCACATTACTTAGATTTAAAACTTCAGATTTTTTACTCAAAAGCAATACCAGGATTTGGCCAATGATGAAACCATAATTAATTTGAATATTTCTATTCTCACAATGAAGCCATTAAGGAGTAATATTTTGTCAAAATATAATTTTTGGAGTTCATTGTAAAGCCAATGTCTTAACCCATAATTTAACATGAAACTCTTCCTCAAAGAGATCTATTTTATTTTATTTTTTATTTTAGATGGAGTCTCGCTCAGTCGCCCACGCTGGAGTGCAGTGGTGAAATCTTGGCTCATTGTAACCGCCACCTTCAGGGTTCAGATGATTCTCCTGCTTCAGGCTCCCAAACAGCTGGTACTACAGGCACACACCACCACATCAAGCTATTTTTTTTGTATTTGTAGTAGGGACGGGGTTTCACTGTGTTGGCCATGCTAGTTCTGAATTCCCAACCTCAAGTAATCCGCCGGTGTCAGCGTCCCAAAGTGCTAGGATTACAGGCATGAGCCACCACTCCTAGCCAATCATTTTAAAAAAAGCGAAATAGCAACCTTATATCAACTACATTCTGAAGACAAGACTCAAGTGAACGATTGCCCATTTGTTGAAGCTTCATTTCCAGCAAAAAACCAACATTTCTAGGTTCTTACTATTTGTTCTCCAATTGAAGCTTGGAGAAAGAAAGTGACTTATTCAGGAACACAGAGCTGGTAAAGAGCAGTCAGCCCTAGAATCTACACTTCAATGGTAGTTTCTCCAAAGTTATCATTCTTATATCACAGTCAAGATTTCTTCTTTTTCTTTTTTTGGGGGATATATTTTCATGTTACTTGGTCCTGTTATTTAATTAATATACATTTTTAAAGTCAACTTTAAAATTTTTTTTAACTTTATCATAAGCAATAACATTCACAAATCACAGGTCTGATGGACTATTTATATATACAATTTCAATGCATATCTAAATACGTATACTATTATCAAAATTGAAAGATAGATTTTTGGATTAAAAAATGTCTGACAGTATACTTGCTAAACTGAATGCTAGTGACAAGGAGTGAGTGAGATGGGGAGGAAACCGTTGTTACATTTTGTGTGTGTGTGTGTGTGTGTGTGTGTGCGCGTGTGTGTACAAACATGAATCACTTTTATAATTTAAAAAAAAAGTCAAAGAAAAAATTGTGTGACATAGTAGCTAGTCTATCTCTAAATTTTGTATATTCTTATTAGGAAATAAAAATTAGCACAAATCTTTTTTAGAGCAATTTAATAATATACATTTAAAGTCTTAAAATGTTCACACTTTTGTGCCCTAATTCCTATGCTTAGAATCTACCCTAAACAGAAATGGAAAAATATGAATATAAGAAATGATAAAGTAAGTAATCAAAAATAAGTAAGGAAGGAATAGTTAGGTAGATAATAATCTATTCCAGTTATGACATATTAAGTAGCTTAAATTGTTTGAGAATGTTGTGATTAAATAGAAAAATGGTCCAATATTAGGTAAAAGACCTGGATATAAAAATTATGATCATGAATTACTTTTCTGTTAATTGCATAGACCACCACTGTTCCTTGGTCTAGCTTCTAGTTAGCAGTGCTCTGCTGGAGCACAATTTGAAAACCACTGATCTATTCCAGATGAGAAAATTGTCTCAAGGAAAAGTGATTTGCCCAGGGTTACATACCAAGTTATTGAAGAAGCTAAGATCCAGACGTACTAAATCCCTCTTCATGGCTATTTCCACTACATCCAATTTGCCTATCCTAGCAAAAGAGATTTCCTTGAGCTGGTATTGAAGAAAAAGCTTTTACCTTCTCTCCTCCCTTTCTCACTCCTTTAACTTTCTCCTTCTGTCTCTTTCTGGCTTTTTCCTCCCTCCATTCTTAACTTCCTTCCTTCCTAAGTTTTCTCAGAAATGAGATCCCGTACTTTATGTAACCAATAATAATTAACTGCTTAGTTGATCAATAAATACTTTTTATGTTTTCTCTAAATTATTTTGATGACTTTTATTTCATTTCATTTTTTTTTCTAACCTCAGAAGATTAGTGGACTAGCTAATTGTGTTCTCTATATATCAGTATCTTCTGTTTTTGGGGGTATTTGGAGTTATCCTCTACCTTTTTTTTTCATTTTTCAATCTAAAATGATTTTCATAGGCTTAGGATCAGGAAATAAAAGAGACAAAAGAAGCATGTGACTTTTCACCTGGAAAAATATAATTCTCCTTTTATTTCATATATAAATATAAATGGGAAATACGGCATTATTCTGCATTATCAGGGAGCATATGAAATAAAAATTGATTCTTTAGATCCTTTAGCATTTTTCTATCATGGCACACTCACAAAGGACTTATTTAAATATTATTCAAAAAGAAGGACGGTCAATGTTGTCATTTGCCTTATGATGGAACACAGAATTTGAAAGTAGTTGAGACTTTCTGAATGTCATAGACAAGAGATTAGAACAGCAATAGTGAGCTTTATTACAGTTTCCCATGTCAATTGCTTCACCACTCAATTCTAGTATGCACAAAGTTAATTTCATTACCATGTGTAATCCCAGCACTTTGGGAGGCCGAAGCGGGTGGATCACGAGGTCAAAAGATCAAGACCATCCTTGTCAACATGGTGAAACCCCGTCTCTACTGAAAACACAAAAACTTATCTGGGCATAGTGGTGCGTGCCTGTAATCGCAGCTGCTCAGGAGGCTGAGGCAGGAGAATTGCCTGAACCCAGGAGGCGGAGGTAGCGGTGAGCCAAAATCGCACCATTGCACTCCAGCCTGGGTAACAAGAGTGAAACTCCGTCTCAAAAAAAAAGAAAAAAAAAAGAAACCTTTACACACTTAATTGAAATGTCATTTTATTATACACTAAAATTTTTATTTATCATAAGATATGTTTATGGACTATCCATTTGTTTCCATTTATCTGTTCGTCCACTTCAGCAAGTGTGTGTCAGTTATATTTTTCTTATTGACTTTAAACTGAAAAAGATCACAATATTAAATATTGCTTAGATTTTATTAAATATTTGAGCAAAACTTCTGTGTGTGTGTGTGTGTGTGTATTAACTTCTCAGTCTGAATTCTCTCAGTATGTACACAAGTTTAGCTCATGACCTAAAACGGTGGTTTTTACAAATTTGCAGATACATTAGGGGGTTACAAATCCATCAAAAGCTTTACATGAGCTTTTGAAAAAAATATACAGTAGGCCCTTGAAAAACTCAGGGGTTAGGAGCATCAACCCCTGTCAAAAATTGGTATGCCTCCACCACAGTCAAAAACTGGTATATAACTTTTGACTCCCCAAAAGCTTGAGTAATAATAGCCTACTGTTGACTGGAAGCCTTACCGATAACAAACAGTTAACACATATTTTTCCATGTTATATGTACAAAACACTATATTCTTACAATAAAGTAAGCTAGAGAAAACAAATGTTATTAAGAAAAAAACATAAAGAAGAGAAATATGTTTACTATTTATTAAGTGGAAGTGTATCGTCGTAAAAGTCTTCATCCTCATGTCTTCTCATTGAGTACACTAAGGAGGAGGAAGAGGAGAAGTTGGTCTTGCTATCTCGGAGGTGGCACAAGGTGGACAAAAAGCTGTGTATAAGTAGATGTGTGGAAACTCATGTTGTTCAAGGGTCAACTGCAGTTAGATTCAGGATGCTATCTGTTTAATATCTTACACTACTGATCCCTTTTAGATATTGTTGCATCTCACTGAGAAAGCAGTAAAGATGATGGAGCAGCAACTTTAAAACTCATGAAAGAAAAACAAGAAAATTCAATTAATGTGGTTAAAACAAACCCCACAAGATTATATAATAGAAAACATGAACACAATGCCAGAAATAAGAATAAGATGTCACAAATAATACTGTTTGGCTAATATGCTTGTCAATTTTCAGAATAGATGTTAATAGATAAAATTTTCTTATCGAGATACAGAAACTCCTACTATTACGCCAAAGAGATAACCACAGACTTTAATCAGGTTTACTAAATGGTTGTTAATTCCATGTATTCTTCTTTTTTGTTCAAGAGTCACAGAATCTGTCAGTTTCTGAAGAAGTGATGTGAAATAAGATAGTCTGAGAAATGGAAAATGTAAACAGCTCTTCGAATAGATCACAAATAAAACTAAATGATCAAAAATG